AGTTTTCTGTATAGTACAATCTGAAAATTTCATTTTGTATCATATTCAACTGATGATTATCATGTGTTCAGATTTTCTTCGTTATTCAAGGTTATTAACCTAATGGTGTGAATTGTGTTTTTACCATTTCTTCACACTCTTTGTTTTACTGACGGATAGATTTTTTTTAATTGAAATGGAAAGAAACCAATTTATGTGGTTAAAGGCATGCCATTTCATAAATTGCTATCTACAGGCATTGATATTTTCATTAGAAATCAAAATAATATTATTGTTCTTTCTATTTCCTTTAAATCAAACACCGAGTTACACAAACATAAACCTCTTCTTGTTAAATCGAAATATATCATGGAATTTCTTGAAGCAGAAGAATATTGCTGACTGGAGAAGTCACCATTATATAATTTTACCAAATTTTAGAATTCTCTAATACTATTTTGTGATTAGAAGGGACTATAATTTTGATAGAGTACAAATAATAATGAAATCATTATCCGGGTTCTTTTTTGTCAATTAAAATATGAACAAAAAAACCCAGATAGCATAACTTTTCAATGTCACCATTTGGACTTCAACTATTTCACATCTTTCACTCGATTACTGATCCATATCGAGTACATGACTTAAAGAACAACATAAATACATTAGTACTTAGAATTGCTGAATTGACAAGAATCGACAAAAACAGAGTTGTGTATTGCTACAGTTACTAATTGTATGGTATATGATTGGATTTAATAGCGGATATTGAAGATGAATAGGCTGTTAATCAAATGGGAGACAGTTACCTTTAATTAGTTTTAAATTAACTGCATCATTTTTATCGAAAAAAACTAATTTAATAAAATCAATTGCTTTAATCAAAGAAATCAATGAAAAACATCAACGTTTCATCTTATTTTCCAAAATATCAATTATCTTATTATATTATTGCCCTGTATAAAACGTAGTTTTTGACTTTTAGGACTTCTTGAACAGTTTTAAACTCTTAATAAGTAATATTACAGAGACATGAAGCTTTTATAATAATATTAAAATGTCTTTAGCATTTATGATTTTAATCTTTCCTTTGTTATTCACAGCTAAAAATAGATACAAAAAATATTAAATTTTAAACGGAATTAACTATTTTTATCGAATACGAAGAAAAAAATGTACTAACATTCGTAATATTTCTTCTATAAGTATATATATACGGACTGTTCTAGAAATTCGAAAATGATTGAAAAGCTTATTGTTTATGTATTCAACAAAGACAAACTTTTTTTTTGTAATTTTTATCAAATCATTGTACTAACTTAGTGCTAGATAACTACTAAAACTTTCGATTGATAGCTTTTACTCCAGATGAGAAACTATGACAATATTATCATGCATTACTTTATTCGGGTTAACAACTGAAATTAAATTTAAAAATTTTGAATTTCGTGTTTATGTTCCCAAATGAGAAGACACGGTTGTAAATCGATTATAGTTTTTTGTTGATGTTCATTGCTCGTAGTATTTTATACAAAAAATGAAAGAAAAGAAAACTCAAAAAAGAGCATCTACTTTGTGCAAGAATCTTCGATTTATTAAGTGGCAGCTAATGTCATTATGAGGCTGAAAGAACTAGTTACACAGATCGTATTCTATCTGCGTATCCGAACATAGCTATCGGACTGAGGAAAAGACGTGAACTAAGCTGAGACTAAGAATCGAAATCGATGTAGAAATCTTGCTTAGAAAATTCGTTGAAAACCTGATCGAATCTGGTCTTTTATAGCCACATTTCTTTGGCCACGGTGAGAAATCGATGAGAATTTCTGTTTTAATGAATGAGTTTAAAGTACATCCGTATTTATGTCAAATTTATCATTGTGATGCAATTTTTTTTATTTTTCAACTTTCTGACATGTAGTCATTTTCTATCTCATGATACTTCTTTCTCGTCTTTCAATGAATGAAAATTTTGTTTTTTTGAACTAAACTGTGAACGAACAATCACTTCTAACGAAAATTTATTATGAATTCGTTTTATACATTTTGAAACTGCGGATTAATAAAAAATTTTCCTCCACCTGCATTCCGTCTGACACATTCATTAAATGAAACATGTTCACATTGTTCTCGACTAAACCACCATCTTTTATCCATCCAACCATTGTACATACAATCTTTAGTCAAATATTGAGCTGCATAGATAGCTGCTCCGCCAAAAGCTGATTGAACTTCAATCAATGAATGATTACGTGGTATCGCCTTGTTGTGAATAACAACGGCTCGTCTAATTTGTGATTTCCAAGCGAGAGAAAAAAATGATCCTTGTCGTGCCCGTTCCCAAAAATCATATGTTATTGTTGGCCATGAACGTAATGCCCATGCATCATAATATGAATCTGTTTGTGAAGCTGTCATGACTGCCCATGATGATAAAGGATAAATGAAATTTGTAAGAAAATTGTTGACACTAAATGTTTCCGTAGATGTAACATCAACATCAAGTACAAAATAATAATCGAACCATGGCATATCAGTTCGTGCACGTTGAAAAAGATAATTTCGACAATGGGCAAGACGTGAAGTGCCTAAATACAAATTTGTTTTAGATGAAATTCTTTTTTTTATTCAATGTAATTGGGAAGTGTTTGTACTGGAGAACTATAAGAAGCACATTCTACGATTGTTTGCATAACTAGATTATGTTCTTTCAGTTGTCTTTGACAAATTTTTCAAACTCTTCCAGAACGACACTTTTAAGTTTCTACAGGAAATCCAGAATGATGGTTTCTTGTCATGCGACAAAAAAAATGGCAATGTGCACCAGTGTTTCCAACCGAGAAAATGATGGAGTTTAGTAGTATTCTTAATTGCGAAACCTCGAAACAGATGTAAAGCGATCTGATAAGTCTCCGAAAATTTTTTAATGTGATATGAGATTGCGTAATATTTTTTTAAATCCATATTTGCATAATATTTCAGAAGACTTCAAAGATGCTTTATCAAAAATCAGCATCCTCCTGTCCTTCCGAAGCCTAGAAATTGAAGTTTTTCGATTTTGTTTTCATTCTCCACATATATATATCCCAGATGTATCATCTATAAAGTGTCGTATTATTGCTAGTTATTCATCATCAGTCATTGATTTCACTTAAAACCAATTGTGGAAGCGTTTTCCAGAAAAATTCACTGTGACTCTTCTATTCTATAACAAAGTCTCGTTATAATAATAATGGTCTTACATTTCAGAGTGTATTAAGAAAGAGTCATAGACTTTCCACACCGCTAAGTAATCTTAAATTTTGATTGATTTCGTTGAAGAAATACAAACTTCTAATGTGTGCTGAAAGTTGTTTTATAGTATTTCTCTGTTGTTCTCGAAATCAATCTGCGAAAAAGAAAATCAAAGTTTCCATATTTTTCTCCTGATATTTCGATTGACTAAATTCGATGTTTTCAAATAGTAACTTCAATCGAATCGGGCCATCGTGTGCTTTTTGAAAAGAATACTGCATCAGTAAACCTAAACAAGTTTTACAAAATTTGTATCAATTGCTAAAAGTTTGACAAAGTGTCACAGAATAACTATCAGTATTTTCATATTCATTTTTTCAAGAATTCATTATTTTTGAAATAAAAAATCTACACTCTAATTTACTCATAATTACTACATCAAAATTTTCAGCGATTACACATGAGTTGAAGACCCTGTTGTCATCCTTTATGCTCGTTATATCTTATAAAAGCAAACATACGAGTCGCTCTTTAAAAATCTTGTAAAGATAAAGATAGTACTCTTAAGATAAGTAGATAGAGTTTGGATGCGAGTCTTCTGTTCATAAGCACCTTATCTATGCTCACATCTTTAAATGATTTACTTACGGAAAAATAAGCGCCGTCGTTGTTGTCCTGCAGTATAAACACTAACATGATTAGAATCATTTTTCGACCATTCTTGCAGAAATTTCAATGTGCCATCATCAGAATCTGATTCTCCCAAATAGAGATGATAAGATCGAAATAATGCACCAATAGCACGTATATTTTTTTGAAAACCAATAAGATGATTTTCGACATTTCGACAACAGGCTGTGATAACTAATGTAAAATTTGTTAGATTAACTTTATCAATTGTTGTTATTGGTTCTGGACGTGACCATCCTGTTTGATATGTTCGACTATCTTCCCAAAAGGCTACTGATGAATTTGGAGGCTTACTCATAAAATATTCGTATATGAATTCGTAAGCAAAACGTACGATACTTAATATTAGAATACTAAGACAAATCATTTTAAATGCTCTGGAGATACAGTGTCGATATCGTCTCATGTTGTTATTCGTCAATATTTAACTGTCTTTTTTTTTGTGTCGATCTTGTCCTAGTTGAGAAACAATACATATTAATCAAGATAAATAGCTTGAGTAAATAAAAACAATAACCCACATGTAACTATTCAAGCGCAAATGTACCCATTGACAGTTAGTCCTCGATAACTATGTGTTTTGTTCTTCTATACTCTTATCAACAAATAGCACGTATCATATATTGATTGTATTTATTCTGAACTGAAAATATTCTACATAGAATTACAATACCTATGGAAAAACTTAGGGTTTCTTTTGTATGTTGCTCCTAACTAAGGTTTTAAGTAAGCCATGAATTATTCTACTCAATGAATGACATTAGATTTCGATGACTTATATAAATATGATTATAGAAGAAATAATTCGATGAATATCCATGCAAATCGATTGATAACAAAGCTCATTGAAGGAAATCTCAAAATGGAATCTACTGCTAGCATAGAACGTATCTATTTTAGACTATTACTTAGGTCTGACCAAAAGTTCTGCAATCGTTATTGGCAATTTTATAAACCAATCAACATTCAAGAGGTTGTTGCATGGATAAATAGTGGAATGTCTTGTCTATAATAATATATATAGTAAATCTATTTTGGACTTAGTTATAGTACTTTTTCAGATAAACTTTCGTTTGAACCAAAAAAAAATTTTTTTAATGGATAATAAACTCAATCGATATTATATAAAAATTCGAACTATTTTGGGAATAGATCCAAAGACAATTCATGAAGAACTTGTAACAGCTTTGGGACCCAATGCTCCATCATATACAACAGTTACAAGATGGGCAAAACGTTTTCGTGAAGGAAGAGAAGAAGTCAATGATGATCCTCGATTTAGTCGTCCAATATCCGAACTTACAGATGAAAATATTGAACTGGTTCGATAAGTTATCAGTAATGATCCACATTCAACTTATGATGAAATTATAGCTGAGACTTCTCTCTCTCACGGTACAATAGAACGAATTATCCACGACTGTCTCAAAATGAAAAAAGTTACATCTCGTTGGGTATCCCATGAACTAACTGATGAACAAAAACAACAACGAGTTCAACTTTGTCGTGAAAATTTGGCCAAATTTCAAACTGGTTCTGGGCGATTATGTGATATTATAACAGGTGATGAAACATGGATTTACCATAGACAGATTTATCACAAGTCAAAGAACGCAAGCTGGGTTGGCGAAGGTGAATCACCAACTACTGTAGTTCGTCGAAGCAGATTTGAACCAAAAAATTTATTTTCTATTTTCTTTAAATCAAATGGTCCTGTTCTTATACATTGTGTTGATGAAGGCAAGACTATAGATCACAACTACTATATTGAAAATTGCCTCAAGCCTGTTGTCAAGGAAATATTGAAGCAAAGAAGGTCAGCAGGTACACAAGGTATCAAATTGCTTCACGACAATGCTCGACCCCACACTCATTCTGATGTTATTAATTATTTAACAGAACAACATATCAAAATAATGCCACATCCACCATATTCACCTGACCTTGCACCATGTGATTATTGGCTTAATGATTACATCAAGTGTAATTTAAGTGATCAACCAAATGAAAAATCATTAGCTCGTGCGGTATCCAAGGTGGTGAAAAATATTCCTGAAGAAGAATATAAAAAAACTTTCGACAAACTGTTAGAAAGGATGGAACTTTGTATAAATAATCATGGGGACTATTTTGAACATTTAATAAAATAAAACTCGAACTTTCTCTTTTTCTTTAACTTTTTTTTTTAAATTGCAGAACTTTTGGTCAGACCTAAGTATTTAATGAAAACTTTAATAGTTCGACGATGCTTTTAATTTTAAAACTACACGCAGATCTTCATCAAAAGAATGAGATAAATATAATAAAGGATAATATTTACCAAATTCTGATTGTTTTATCAAAATGTCACTAGAAATGCATAAAACTGTATTCTAAACAAAATTTTTCATCTCGAAAGTTTAGTTGTAGATCTTTATTTATAGGATGTGATATGACTACGGTATGTTGACTCGAATATTTATTAATAGATACACATAATGACAAACCATTTTAATCATATGTACCTGATATTTAGATCTTACGATTATTACGAAAAGTTACGATTTTAAATGCGATTTTGTTGCAGTGCAAGCAATGCTTTACTTCCGACCAGAGATGAGCATGAGGGCGTCACAATCAACGTGAGTTCTATAAGGCAGGCCTAAGGTCACGTTGATTGTGACGCCCTCGTGCTCATCTCTGCTTCCGACTGTTCAGTATTTTATTCATAAAAAACGAAATGCTGAACACAAATCATGAATGAATCAATCATTATATTTGCACTTGTTATACTTATCATTCCAAATGCTGTAAAAAGCAGATTTCAAAAAATAGTACCTGTCGTAAATCTCCAATCAGAACCGACATGACTAGAGAAACGCCTATCGAATCATACCCTATTCTTCGATTTGAGCCTATAGATGAGTGTAGGATTCTTTTAAAGATTTATCTTTTCATCATTACATTCACCATCATTCCTTCTATCATCTTGTGTGGATATTGATCGAACTCCTATGCCTATAACATACGTACTTATTTAGATATGTCATCGAATATGAGATCTTCGATTCAACAGTTTGCCTGAAGTTAAGTCGTGGTTTACATGAAATGACTTATGCACAAGCATCGCATATTGACTGATATTCTAGAATAGTACTTCATAGAAATATCTAATTAAAACAGAAAAATCAGGGAGTGCACTCAGATCAAAAAATCAAATGCAAAATCTTACAATATCTTACCATAGGATTGTTTGCCCCAGGTGACTATAGTTTAATTATGCGTATCGTTTGAGCATACAAGGGTTTTTGTGAATGTTTATGTACGCTTCGTAGTCAGTAGGACACAACTCTAGTGCACTTTTACAATCTACTAATTCACTTCAAGAATATCCTGATATGGATTTTTAAGATCTTTTCGTCTTTCCATTTTTGATGGTAGATCAACTCATTTAAAGTCGGGGATTTCAATTGTAGAGATTACTATCAGCTATTCTCCAAATCATATCTTCTATATTTTTTTTTCTTTCGCTTGATTTTTTTTCCTTGTTGGTTGTAGTTTCTACTTTGCTCTTGTTCTCAATCATCTTTTTTTTTCTTGATTTTTCATTGATGTCTGAGGCTTCTTCTTCAGAATTCTTGTTGTTACTAGGTGCAATCGTTATTGGATGATGTGTCTTAGTTATGCTGTTTATTTTGATTGTAGCTAATCACCGATCTTTACTCTTTAGTATTGTTCATCATAATAAATCTTTCAACGACAGAGATCAGAGAACAGATAGTCTAACATCAGTTAAACTGTCGATACTATTCGATTTCTTCTTGTCTAAGACAACACTCTAAATAGCTAGAATATTTATCAGAGTCAGAACTTCATAGGATCTTTTTTAACAGCCCAAAACTTTATATCAATCAACCGATGTATCCGAAAAAATATTCTTGTTAAATTGTACAGTTGAAGATATTACAAAATAAATATTAAAAATATTTATTGTGTTGTCGGGGTTCTCTTAGGACAAGTCGAATGTTTCCGAAAGTAAATATGTATGGATAGAATTTTGGAAATACCCATTCATATCGTACCATAAAAACACATGAAAATACGGTTCAAGTGTTCATGTATCCAACAAAAAAATAGAGTATAATTTACCAGAAATGACCATCAAATTATATGGATATTACTGCGTACGATTTTTGTAAGTAACGGATGTGCCAGATTGAATGGCCGCGTTTGGTATTTCAATTTTCATTTTGCTTAATATAGTGTATTATAAAAACAAAATAAACCAAAAGATGCAATGTGAAAAACTCTACAATTTACATAGACCAGCTTTTTTTTGATAGTTGAACTTTTTGCTTCGAAAATGGACGAAATTTTGAGCGATCGAATTTCGACCGTACGAAAATTGATCGCAGAGAATTTTGATTTTTTTTTTGAAAACAATTACAATAAGCTTTATTGTATAAATTGTAGAGCTTTTCTCGGTGCATCTAGTGATGTATTTGTTTCTTTTTTTTAAATAAAAGATACAAGATGATAAAAAGATGAAATAACAGAGACAAATCCATCTTGTACAAAAAAAATATCGTTTTCGCACTGTCAAAATTTCATCGCTCAGCCGATTTTGAAAATAAAAAGTGTAACTATAAAAAAAAAACAGTCGTATGTAAATTGTAGAGCTTTTCACGCTGCATCTTTTGGTATATTCTTTTTTTAAATACAATATATTAAGTAACTGAAAATTGGAATGCAAAACGCGACCATTCAACCTGGCGTACCCGTTATTGCTACAGCAATCTCCATAGATGATCATGCCTTCTACTTTTTTTAACAGCAATGACCAGTATTTAAGCTTTTTGTTTATTTTGCACGAACTATTGATGCACATCATGGGATACAGATGAGAGCATTTACATCCTTTCTGTTATCAAATTACAGCTTAATGAAAAGATGAATATTTCTTCAAAGAAAAAAATAGGAAATCATTTTCTTATCAAGGCATAACTATGATCCACACATGCCAAATACTGATGTTTCACGATATTTACGAATCAAAAGATATTGACTCGATAGGTATAAAATAACTGATGACATAGAAGTTGTACAAAAATTCGATCGTCAACGGTCTACAACCAAAAACTAAGATACAACAATTTAGTCGATGATAGTTCAACATCCAATCGAATTTGCAGACCAAAATGCATTTAGATTATCAAGGGAAGGTATAACAATTAGTGAAATCACATTAAGAAGAAGATTGAAAGAATTCAATATAAAATCGATGAAATCAATTTCCAAATCGTTGTTCATGAGTGTTCATATTAAAAGAAGATCTCAATGGGTTATGCAACACAAAGATGTTGACTGGAACGAAGTTGTTTTTCCGGATGAGAGTTCATTTCATACAAAACAAGTGTTTAAAGATGTGTGGAAAAAATGTAGTCAAAAAATATTATGTCTCAATAAATAAATATCCTGTTGAAGTTCACTTTTGAGAATGTTTTAGCAAACAATAGGTTTAGGAAACTGGTATTATTTACATCAAAATTAAACTCAAATTTTATGTGAAAAATTTACAAAAATGAAGTCCTACCGTCAGCAAAGAGATGGTTTGACCATAATAAATCTTATTGGAAACTGTTAGAAGATAATGATCCGAGATATATTTCAAAACAAATTAAAATGTTTAAGTTCAACAATAGCATACAATCATTATCTTCGCCATCGTAGTCTACCGACTGTAACCTAATCGAAAATGTTTGGACATCAACGAAACTCAGAATAAACAAACAAGCACCAACGTCAATAAAGAATTTCATTGCAAGAGTTAAAAAAAAACAAGAATAGAAAAATTTACCTGTTGAATTTGCTGCCAAATTTAGTCAAATTGTTAATTAAAAGATAAAGGCGATTGTATTAATTATTAAAATGGTGTACATACGATATAGATTTTACAAATAGAATATAATAAAATAAATCTTTTTTCTTTTTCGTTTTTTGAATCGTGACTACTCAATGTAGATTTCTGTATGTGTAACAGAACAAGACAAAAAAAATCCAATACACAACTAAAATGCAAAATGTTGCTACTGATTTAACACGTGTGTATGTTGCATAGTGAATTCGTATAGAAGACTTTTCAAAATAAGACTTTTTACTGTTCTTCAAAAAAAAAAAACCTTGCTGCTATGAGCATGTTGACGTTGCATTAAAGACATTCTGATATTCTTTTTTATGACAATATGGTGATTGTAGAATGAAAAGGATCGATCAATATCATAATTGTTATTATTGGAATTAATAATTGAGAACTGGCGGCCTTGCCCGTCATTCTGAAAACAAGATCCGGCCTGTCTGGTATTGCTCGTAGAAAATCATATCAAATGTTTACCACGGTTTAGTCGATTTCAGTTGAAAAAATTCAAGAAAACGTTTCCGACCTAGATGAGAACGAATAAGTGAATGTTGCTCCTCTGCCATTTTCATATTCTGTGATGCTTTAATTGTTATTACTGTTGTTGATGACCAAAAAAAACGTCTATCTTTCCGATATTGGATAAAGAAAAAGTGACTTTTTCATCTTCTCTTTCTCACTCAACAAAAAAAAAGTTCTATTAACATTGTAGCATGATGTTCTTCAAATTGAAATACTATTTTACGATATTTCTCTGCGAATGGTAGATAAATGTCAATTATAAAACAATCATCATGAAATTTCGTGTTTTATGAGTAGAAACGCTATATGACATCTCTCTGTTTCGTTAATCTGCCTGCTAGTACATATTTTGTCTGCTGACAGAGTGCTATATCGTGTTGGAAAGATGTGTATTATCATCAGTTAAAACTTTTCTTTTCGTCCTCAAAGTGTTGTTTTCCTTAATAGAAGAACGTCTGTGTCATTTTTCCCAATGTTTTCTTTAATTAAATATTAGTTATCCATCTATAAAATTCAATCATCTCATTCCATTGTTTTTAATTATCGTTCTATCTGTCATATGATGATGCTCATGAATAGAGTATACTGTACCACAGAATACTTATTTGCATAATCTGTGTATATTGAAAAAAATGTTTTTTGTCTTTTCGTTGATTCATCTTAAATTCGTCGATGACTGACACTAAGCAAAACATGAGTTGCGTCAACTGAATAATAACATCAATAATTACCGTCAGGGGCTAGTCGTAACAATCATTTCTTCCTATGTCACTTTTACATTTTGTGATTAGCTTTATTATGTTAGAAACTCGGTAAGGATTTTAATAAATTCATCAAGTTGAAAATATGCATCCGTTATATTATTGATGAAAATATATGAGAAAATTACTAACAATCACAATCGAATATGTATGACACTGAGTGATGGTGTTCTGTCCCTAGTGTCATCATTGATGGTCTGGTCCGATGATAATTTATTATGATTTATAGTAGTTCTCTTTGGCCCTACAAACCAATGACGAGCAGAGATAATCCAATAGGCACCTGCAAGGAATGCTACGCCACCGACGATTACTACAGCATAGTTCATATTATCTTTGGTAACCGGATATTCAGCAGGAAAGAACATGATGATAGATGTAATAAAAAGCCAAGCGGCGGAGATAATAGCGATGGGTAGACTGAATCGACCTAAATTGAATTCACCGATTGGGAAAGTGTGTCTTGCTGCTGTACATCGGAAGAAAATAGGCATAAAATAGGATATTTGATAACCAAGTGTAGCTATGGAAAGAATAGCAGTGAAAGCAGTCGTTGATGCTAATTGAAGAAGGAGAAGAAGACAGTCAATGACAAAAACAAATATCACATTGCCCAATGGAGTTTTTGTTGGCTTGAATATCCAACGTAGATACACCGATAGTGGAAATACACCATCACGAGCCATAGCAAAGCTAGAATGAATGAGATGTTATTAACTAGAAAAAGAGAAAGCAAAACATATTCGACTAGCTAATATATACCCAATTTGACTGGTCACTGTCAATGACGACATACCCGCAAAATACAAATTAAGAATGAGTAGAATGGTCAATGCAAGTGCGCCTTTTTGGGGTACAGCAAGCTGATAGGTAGCAACAGCAAGGTTTTGCGTTGAGTTATCTCCACTATTGTTATCCACAAACGAGCTCACATCCGGAATGGCAAAGAGTAGAGCAAGCAAATAAGCAAAATCAGTGATAGCACTGCATATGCAAGTGCCTACGATTCCTTTTGGAGCTTAAAAAGAAGAAGAATCAATCATTTTATTGACAATTATTCTCTGAGATCTCAATTTTGTTTCGAATATTTACTCACCTGCGCGGCTTGCATCTCTTGTTTCTTCGGCCAAATGAGCACCAGCTTGAAAATTCGAAGATAATAAAAACATATTCAAATCTTAAAAGGTTTACCTTCATAGCCGGAGAATGAAAAAGCGTTGAAAGGATACCAATGAAGCATACATATGGAAATGGAAATCCAGTACCATTGTATGTCGATGTAAAAACGTTATGAGCCGTAGCTCGTTCAGGAGCCATAGCAAGAAGTACTGTAACAATAGTAACTGCCGATCCAAGCTGAAATATAACAGCAAAATTATTGAGCCAGCCTTGTTGATCAATACGCAACGCGTTTTGAACAGCCCATACAAAAGTGATGCCTATAGCAATGCCCACTTGGGCACCCGTGCTTAATGAATCTTTGCCTTCGAGAATAATAGCTGCATTAATAATCGTAGCAAAGCCAGATGCAAACGCAACATCTCCTGCAACATGTTTTAAAACATAAATCGATTGACTCTTTGATCATTTTCCTACCTGCAAAGTTCCCTATGAAATTGAACCAACCACAAATAAACGAAGCCAATGGTGCATGCTTAGCGGAGACCAACTGACCTGCCCTACAACAAAAGAAACGTATTTTTATCATCAATTGGGTGGCGTGCAACTTTCAATATCATACCAATGATATACAGATCCAGCGCTAGGGTATACAGAACATATTTCAGCTAAAGAAAGTCCGATGAGGATAGTAAATATAGCTCCAATAATCCATGCCCATATTGTCACACCTGATCCACCAGTGTTGAGTGAATATGTAAAACCGATTGAAATTGATGTGAGGACATTGACAGCAGTGAAACAGAAAGCAAATGACATAAATGAAGAAAAGCCACGATAGAGTTCCTGCGTGTAACCCATTTCACGAAGAAGACGTACATCAGGATCTTCAATTTGCACCATGTTTGTTTTCGTGGTTTACTTCAAGATAAATAATAGCTTAGGAGATGTTGACTCTGTCTTAAAATCTAAAAATTAAGATTTTCCACGGGATCCGTTTAGTGCTACACAATCATTTACCATTGAATTTTCGTTTGAAAAACAAATCTTAATCATTCAAATTTTATTTTACTAGAATTCATTTAAGAACTAGTCATATGATCGAAAATGATTGCAAGACTTAGAAGAGCATTATTTGTTCGATACATTCTATAATAACTCTCACATATGACAAGAAATATTATATTGTCTTTGTTTACTGCAAAGTACCGGACAAACATGGTAGATGGTGAAAATTGTCCGTAAATTCCTTTCACTTTTCAATTAACTCCAAGATCAAGACACAATTAACGTATCTTTCAGAAGACGAATCTACTAGAATAGAAAAGTTAAATATCTGTACTATTGTTAGTGACATACAATGTCTACTTATATAATTCATAATTTAAGAAGTAAGTAAAAATTTTTGCTTTACTCATGTATCAAAACTTTGATGATCGAGAACTTTTTAGTTTTCGTCATATTACGACTCATAATCTATAGTATCACCATAGAAAATTGTACGTCGCTTCATCACATCTATGCAGTTCTTATTGCTAATACAATCAATGTATGTTCTTTTTTATTCTTTAATAATTACCCGAAGATTATCTTTTTTTGGGAATCTTGGGATTCAGTTTGAATAAAAACTTATTTTTGTCATATATCACTTGAAAGAGTAAGTTGTACTTTGTAAAATACCTACTTTAATTTGTAGTTGTCTTCAGGTTTTTCTTAAAAAAGTGTCGTTTTTTATGATTCACATCAGAATTTCCGAAAAAAACAAGACACTGTAATGACAAGTTTCTTCAGTCGTAACATTTTATAGATAATTTAAAAAGTTACGAAAAACTGGATCAAAAAAGTAGATTTGAATAAGTATTCAATGATTACAAGTCGACTTGGCCATCCTTAACGTACACCACATAGTCGGACATACGACTATTTATTTTTTGCCGTCGTATGTTGAAATACTAGCTATAAAAACTTAAAGAAAATAGAATACCAATTTACTTTTTCGAATGGAGTATGATGAAGATAAATTTTCCTTCAAAAATGACGCCTAAGATTTCCCAAGAAATTTTGTGTAACAGTTACAGAATGAAAGCGGCATACTTTATTTGCTTTGACAACAGGAATTGTATACATTTGATGAAGCAACCTAAAATTGTCTCTGATGATAGTATAGACTATGAATTGTTGTAAAATGAACACTAGGCCGTTTCAGATCATCGAGGATTTGATGTATAAGTAAAACAAAAAAAATTCTATCGCTTCTCGAATCATATAAACACCATTGTGTTATTGTAAAACATAGTTATAGCATAATTTACTTTCTGTTTATTAACATTACATAAACCCATTTTGTTCAATCAAACATGATAGGAGTTTGTAACCCGTTAGGAATTTACATACTTTTGTCTAATCTTTTATATTCATGAACTCTTTTAGATATATGTATTAAATTAACTGCTCAGATGAAGGGCTTATGATTCTATGGTTATCTTTGAAACATACAAAGATAAATTTTTTAGATACAAATTTGCTGTCTTCACATATTCAAAAAAGGATTTATACAATAGTGATAAGCATATAATGAGCATTGATCATTATGTACTTTTCTTTACAATGATGTGAACGTTTAGTGAAAACGTACTTCAAACAAAAAAAAGAACTCAAGAGATGAAGTTTTTGTTAAATATATCTGATGAGTCAGTGCAGCTCGGAATGTTTTTTTTTGCGTGAAAACAATGAAAAAAATATTTTCGCTTAGGAGTGAATGACGCTTCATACATATGCATGATATCAATCTTCTGTTGTTTTCAATCAACGAATTATTTTACTCGAAGAAGTCACCATACAAACCTAATGGTATGCTAAGAAATTCGGAGAGCTTTTTGAGATGACCATGAGTAAGAAGTTCATCTAAATCAGCTGAAAGAAATTTGAATTTTTTCTAACAATACCAATAAAATCAAAGAATAGCACGATGAACAACGCAAGTCATTCATGAATAGTAATTCATTTTTTGCTCGTTAACATTACCTGCATATTTAATTGACGCTCAAATATCGAAATGGTTCGTAACTATATCATTAAAATGAAGAATAAATAGTGTATGTCGAAAAATATATGAATATTTAAAAAAATAAACGTGTCTTTATAACTTGTAGCATAGTATTGACTTCTATGCTGTCGTTTCGATTATGTTACTACATCATTATTTTGTTATTGCTAGCATTATCATTAAAAAATGGGTGCACGCAAGACGACAGCCTCCTAGGAAAAGGAAAAAAAAAGAAAAAGAAATGAGTCTCATCAATAAAAAAAAAGTACAGAACAAGAAAGACTAGTTAGTAATACATACAATTTATTATTGCCCATGTGTGACCTTCCCTTCTATTTCATACGAATGAAAGTGCACAGAAAAAACATCAATATACAATATTCAATCACGATGAAGTCACCTTTCTTTTCGTACGTATTTAATCATGTGGACATTTGTATATGTAAAAAAAGCTGTTCCAAAATAAGATCATTCATTATAAGTATGTAGGAGAAAGAAAAGTGCAACTAAGAATGATACGACAAAGGAAAGGATCAGATTATGAATGGTATTGTATATTCTTACTATTCAAAATCCTAGAATGAATGCTTCAAATATCAATTCTAACGATGATACAGTCACAAATCACTTCCTTCAGTCAAATTCTTCATGAGGTGAATCAAAATATTTCAAACAAGACGTGACTATTTACTATCTCTGAGATTTTGACCTTATTTTCATGCTACCATACATCTTCAGATAAAGTGGTCCCTATGTATGAAAAAGTTGCAAGTACATCTGATAGTATGAAGCAACGAAGTGTATATGAAGAACTTTAAGCCTTCATCAGCTCTTGCTACTCGTAAACTGATAGCCAATATAGAAGTCACTCTATTTTCTTCTCATCGATTAGTTTAAGGCATCCCCCCTCCTCCAAAATCGATTTTCAACATGGTGCATGGAATCTTCATGAAACTTTCTACAGATGCTCGAACCATAAAGATACAAGTGTAAAAAAAAAAATTCATGACTCTAGCCCTTTCCGTTCGGGAGATATACAGGTACCAAGGGGCAAAATGAAGGTCCCACGCGTACAAGGATTTTTTCAATACACTTCGAGATGGAGCGCTCGGGCTGGTCTCATTTGAAAGAGAACTCCTTAGGGCTTCAGATGAGGGAAAGGATTTTTTTAATTTTGATTTTTTTTCTTTGGTAGGATCCCCAAAACTTTCAAGTTCTGAAAATCCTATGTAGGATTTTTCATAAAATACCTGATTGCTCATAGATTGAGAGTGTAATAAAAAATTCCTTCTCGTCATCTGAAGAAGGATATACCTATCTATCAAATTAAAAAAAACCGCAGTTTAATAGAATAAACTATAGTGAAGAAAAATTTGTTCAGAGATTGATATTTTGCAAAAAAACTCGGTTTTGAGAAAAACGATAAACAAGTTTTTTTTGTGAATATTATCTGCTACTAATCTAAAAATGCAAGAATTGCATGCCAATGGTAGATACACGTCACAGTGCATTGCACTATGATTGTCGCGATGTATCGTGTTTGTTTTGAAATAAAATGAATATATAATGAAAAAATCAACTAGTCATTTGTTTTGGGTCTATATAAGTAATAATAGTTACAACTAACTTAAGTTTTTTTACGAAAATCCCATAAAAAACTTAGAGATTCAATAATATCTTTACGGATTTGTAAAGTAGACAACTCAAGCATCATGCCCATGTGTTTATCTCAAAATCCATTTTTTTGACGAAAATCGACTTTTTGGAGAAGGGGGGAGATGCCTTAAGAGATGCAAAGATAAGCTGAAATATGTTCGAGAATCGACTGCTCGCACAGAGTTTTTATTTCTCTACTTGTACTGCACGTATTGAACAGCTAATAAAAATCTTGTCAGTGCACCACTTGATAAACACAACATGTGTAACTTAGGGTGTGGGTGTGGGCGTGGGTGTGGGTTATTGAAAAAGCTAACTCCCACACCCACAAATCCACACCTACACCCACCCACACCCACACCCTCAAGAACCGATATGTTTAATCCACATACATATGTCCTCAAAGCTATGTTAATTATTTATCAGGTGTCTCTCGATATAGAAGAAGCTCAGAATTTTGACGATTTCAATTTTGATTGAGAATTTTAAACTGACTAATTTCTTCGAACGCATATGTGAGTTCCACAAAAGATATCCTAATGCAGCAGAATCTCCAAGGGGGAAACACCGTACTTTGTACTTTAAAGTACTTTGAGGTACTTTGAGGTACTTTAAAGTACTTTGAGGTACTTTGAGGTACTTTAAAGTACTTTGAGGTACTTTAAAGTACTTTGAAGTACTTTAATGTACTTTAAAGTACTTTGAAGTACTTTAATGTACTTTAAAGTACTTT